TGAAGTTAAAGGACAACTTGGGTGCTTTCATTTGTTAAAGGACGAACTAAGTTCTAAAATGAAAGTTTAAGGACCAAATTGGGTATTAAACCTTTCCTTTTTGAAGATCAACGCATTTGTATTTAGCCTAAACACTTTTGATTCATTACCCACCATAATCATCTTCTTCATCTTCATGAAGATCTCAGCCATGGAAGAACCAGACGCCCAACCCTTCATCTAATAATACCTTCAGTCTTGCCAAATTTCCTTCCTTTTCCTGAATTGCATTTTCTTAACGGAAGAAAACCCATAAACCAGAAAAACCCCCCATCAGATTTTCACTTTCAAATCAACTCCTTTCCAGCTCCTGCTTCATCAAAAGGTTAGCTACCTGCTCAGTATTCATCTTTGCTGCTCTAATTTATCCGTCAAATTAATCACGCAGCTGATTATTCAAGGAAAGATTATGTAAGGGGGTTTAGTCAAGAACCCCCTCCATGTGTATGGTGAATTGCCTCTGAGAAATTTGCTTCATTCTTTATCAGTAACCCACGAGTTTATGGGCCTAAATAATGCCTTTTTTTGCAAAGAGAATGTTATTACGTTTCTTGTTTTCTGAATTTTCAGCTATTGTTTGAGCCTAAATTGTGTTTCTTTCTGTTATCATGTGACCCATTTTGGTTTATTTAGTTTATGCTCAGAGTTATTGTATATTTTGTAAATAAGGGCTGATTTTGTGACAGATCTCTGATCTAAACCACCACGGCTTGCTGTGCGTGTATGTGGCAGAGCTTTCTTTGCTGATAAGACAAATGGTTTTGTGTTTCCCTTCTACACCCAAGAAACTGGCCATGACTGTGGGGTGCTTCCTTGCTGGAGCTGGCCTTTTCGCCATCGGTACACATTTCTCTTATGTAAATGTTGCCCCTCAACAGGCTCGAATCAAAGCTCGGAATGATTTTGTCAAAGAAAGGTTGAGAAAGAGACATGGCAAACAATAGAGATAAATTTCAATTTTTTTACATTTAGGTTTCTTTATTGAGTGCTGTTATCTTTCTTTCCTGTTCTAATATGACTTTGGTTTATTTTCAATACAAGTGGTGCTTTTCGCCAAATAAGAAATAGAATGTTGAGCATTATGGAACTTCCAAATTACCCTTTTTATAACCCTCTTTATCCTTTGGTCGTACTTTGAGAAGTGATCATTAGAATTCAGAACGATTTTTTAGATTGGGATTGCACTCTACATGTGTATTGTGTAGTGTTTTGCAGAATTGCTTTGAGCAGGGGCCAAAGTTGCAGTGACCTGTTACAACAAACAAACAAACAATTTTGGGAGGGGAGAGCGATGCAGGCATTAACAACTTATTCTACCTTCTTCGTCAATGAACTTACATGGTATCAACCTCAAAAAATTTCCGCATGTCACCTATCAATAGAAGATAAACCTCATAAACTTTGATTGTAATCAGAGTTAGGTATTTGACTGGAATCAACTTCTGTGTTTAAGGAAATCAAAAATGTGTTTTTTTAGTAAGTTACACATTAAAAATACAGTTTTATCGAATGACCCGTTTCTGACCTAGTAGTATTGGACCTGATTCAAGATTAAAACTGTTCACTTCCGTGAGTGACATATTCGAACTCTATGGAACTCATTTCCCCCCTCCTCCATATATACCTGTAAATAATACCAAAATTGTTCAAAAAAAAAAAAAATACATCTTATCTTCTGAATTTATTCTTCTTAATGAATTTCATACCTATGTTATTTCATTAATGAAATTTTAGTAATTTCAGCCCCGAGTGCAGTCTGACCTTAAAAACATGAATATCTTATTCTAAGCCTATGTTATTGTACTTTTCGATCAACTGTATTGAGATTTGATAACTAAATCGACAAACTTAAAAGGTTCGTTCACCCACAAACTCAAAGGTTTATGGAACAAGTAAAGAACCAGAGACTTAAAGGTTCACCCATAAAACACAACTTTATAAGTTCAATTCCTAAAAGGGTAAAAATAGACTGACAAAGACACTCTCAACTGATAGAAGTAACAAAATTTTAGGCAGCACCGGCTCCCTTCCCCTTCTTTCTCTGAATCTTCTTCGTGTAGAACTCAAGCTCTTTGCCCTCCAAGATATATCTGTCACAAATCATCGCATTACTACATGTTAAGAGGAAGTGGAAAGCCTACACTGTTATGCTAGCAAAAAAACACAAATCTTGGAATACCTAACCATGAAATTTAAACAATGAAGGACAGAGGGAGACAAATATCTAGTTCAAAGCATTGTAAGAAAACACACAAAGACATGACATAGACATACCCATCAGCACGACCACATTGGCCAGGGCGAGATGAAATACAAGCCAACAATCGACCACTTCCAAATTGCTCCTCAATATGTGGGTCAAGAACACGATTTTGCTGACGCTTCTGCAGCTTCCTCAAGACATGTTTGCTCTTCTTCACCTCCTCAGTAGGGGCTTCACCTTCCTACAAACCAGCAAGATGAAAACAAACTGAACATGAAAGCATAACAGCTATAATTACTTGCATGTGAATCCACTGGCTCTCTGAGAGGCAGCACACTAGATGGAATAAAACATAACCAGAGGTTTAAAAACAGAACTTAGGACCTCATCTTAAAAGAATAGACAATTGGTAAATGATATTTAAGAAGAAAAGAGAATTGCCCTACCTCTCCTTCTTTCTTCACTGCAGCTGAGGGTTTCTTCTTGCGACCAATGTCAACACCATAGTGCTGGAGATACCATTGCTTGAACGGAGCAGCATCAACTTGAACAATGGCACTCTTCACCAGAGTTTGAGTACGGACCAACTCATTGTTGGAGGCATTGTACACCACATCCAAGATTCTGGTCTTCCGTGTCACAGTCTCACTTCCCCACGAGTAGTTTCCAGTATCAAGTCTCAGAGCACGCCACTTAACATTTCCACCTCGAACCCTAATCCTCCTCACTGTCTTGTTGCTTGACAGCTTAGTGTTTGCAGGTTGCCTTCCAAGCTCATATCTTTACAAATGAAAATGATAAGATCATGTAGCTAAGCCCAATAATCTCAAAAGAGACAAAAGAAAAAACCGAATCCTTTACCATCCCATTAACTGAATATTCAAATCAATGTAAATCCATTCATATAAACTAACACTACAACCAATGCCCAATTTCAACAAAACAGGGAAAGCAAAACATACAATTTCGGTAGCTATGATTCAGATAGAACAATTCTGCTGGTTCTCTTAAAAATTAACAATAAATAAAGCAAAGCAGAGGCAGAGAAACAAAAAAAGCAAACTGAGGATACAAAGAAAGGATGATAGATCATGGATAGACCAAAAGAAACAAACAAAAGGAAAGGGATTTGGAAATTACTTTCTCTTCTTTCTCCAAGCCTTCTTCTTGCCTCCAGTGGCACGCCTCTTGTGCATCGAATCACGGGAAATACCTGCAGAAAACACAAGCAAGTCATCAAGATCAACATCACCAAACCAAACATGTGATTCAAGAACAAGTAGCGAAATCTCAAAGCACCCATGTTGGCAGAGAGAGAGTTGCTCTAGGGTTTCTCTGTGTCAAGCTAGTCGCCGAATCTTCAGACCGTAGGAGTGAAGGGAGGTAAAGAAAAAGAGGTTTGCCTGGTTGTACCCCAAAAAAACCCTAGCTCATTAAATTACAACTTTAACCTCGATGTTTTTGGATTTCTTTTAGGCTAAAAATGTCAATAAGTGTTACAATTCCGGGCTCAACCCACTCTGTAGCCTCCACTGCATCGTCTAGTCCAAGCCCAAACAGGCATGATCATGGTCATGGAGACTAAAAACCAAAAAGATGTCCACGTCTGGGTGGGAATAAGGAAAAAGCTGCCCACTTTGTTCAACAATGGCACCAACTTAACCAATTTGGGATCAAATCTCTCATCTTGTCTTGGCAAAGCTTCCTGAAAGGCCCAGAATAGTTGCAAATCAAGGCGCAACCTTTCCATTGAAGACAACTACCCCCATTACTTTTATCAACCAGTTTTGGCTCAAACCCTTTTAGAACAACTAAGAATGGGGGTCTTCATGTTGGGTTCGCCGGCTTCCTTTGTTTCTGTAGGAGGTTTCAGTTACAGGACTGTAAAGTTTCAGTCTTTCCCTGTGAAAGAGAGATATAGTGCTGCTTTGCAGTTGGGCAACAAGTTCAAGGATGACACCCAAGGAAAAGTTTCCTTGTGCCGGCGTGAATCAATCGAATTTGAAGAGAGAAAAAGCCCCAATGAGGTGACCCCCATATTCTATTCTACTCAAAATCATCAGCTTGTATCATTTCTATTTGTAATTCTGCTGAAACTTTCCTTGGTACATTGGTAAATTGTATGTTAATCCTAATTTTATTTTGGGAGGTATTCTTTTTTGTTTGAAGGGAGCTTTGTTGACTTGTAGAGCCACAAAATATATATAGTGGTAGTGATAAATATTCAGTAGCTTGGCGCCTGAATTCCATTTGAGACTTTTATGACGGTAATTTTTTGGCTTGAAATTTGGTCTGCTTGAGCATTCTATCTAGAGTAGTAGAATTAGTTCATCAGGTTCGGTAGGCAATTTTTGCTTGAATTGGGGTTCAGTAGCTTGGCGCCTGAATTCCATTTGAGACTGAACTAGGCAATTTTTGGCTTGAACTTTGGCATGCTTGAGCATTCTATCTTCATTCTTGCTTCCCCTTTTCTTTAAAAAAAAAATTTATAGTGTTGTCTTTATCAAGTACGTTCTGCTAAACACTGGGAAACATACTGTAGGAGGTGAAGCTGCTCATAATTGGTATCAGAAATATCTCTTGGTTACCAATTCAAGACGCCCTAGTTTGGATTTTAGCCAGTAATGGTGGGTGATCAGCATTCAGGAGGTCGAATGCTTAGTCAGTCTGTCTATTATGTTGTTGCTAATAGGAAAAAGATGCTTCTTAATCTGGAAGAGTGCAATTAACTGAAGGAAAAATGATGAGAGGAGACCTTCTCTTACTTTTCCTTTTTTCAAGATAAAGAGACCCTGTCTTACTCTATGTTCTCACACTTGGGAATTTTGAGCATGTGTAGGAGTAAAAAATGCTGGTTACTTAAGGTTTATCTGTCGATTAGTTTTGTTAGTCTGAATTTCCAAGTGCTCTGCTACAACTTTTCTCGACTCAAGTGAATTGCATATCTTGTATAGCTCTGCCTTTTTCTGCTTGCTGCCATTTTTGTTAAGTAGATCTTATAGTCCATCACAGCATAATTGTCAAGTTCCTCTTGAGTTTCTGCTTATAATGTCATTTTTTACTGCTGCTTATTGTTAATTCTTTACTGCCAGACAGGTCAACTGTTGTGAAAGGATTAAGTACTTTTACCATTTTTATTAATTATGGGAAGATGATTTGCTGATTTGACTTTCTCATCGGAAAGGTCAGGAAAGAGATAGAAAGATGCTATGAACTCATACACAGGCTTGGCAGGGGAGTTGTGTATTTGGGTTCATCGAGGATGGGTCCTGACCATCCACATTATGCGCAAGCACTGGAGCTTGGTAGAGAGGCAAGTTGATTTTATGTAGTTCCTGCATAAATCCTTCTGGCAAACCACAAGTTGTGAGAAACAAGTTCCCCCAACAGCTGAGATTTTCTCCTTTTCTTTTCTTTTCTTTTCTTTTTGCTTAGCAGGTGGCTAGCCTTTTGGACTGTACCACATGGACAGGAGCTGGTCCCGGGCTCATGGATGCAGCTATTAAAGGTGCTCTAGAAGCAGGAAAACCAGTAGGTGGGTTCAAGGTTAGAAAAGAAGCTGGAGAATGGACTGCCTCAAATTTCCATCCATACCTGCCTTCAGAAACTTATCTTACATGCAGGTAAACGATGCTGATGAAAAATTTACAAATTTAAGCCAAGAGAATCTCATAATCCTCTTGCAAACATATGCAGGTTTTTCTCTGCTAGAAAACATGGCTTAGTTGATGCTGCAGTTAGGAGTTGCAATACTGACAGGACTGCTGTAGTTGCTTTCCCTGGTGGTGTTGGCACCCTAGATGAAATGTTTGAGATAATGGCATTAATTCAACTCCAAAGAATTGGGTCAGAGCTTCCAGTTCCGTTCATTGTGATGAACTACAATTCATTTTACAAGAAGCTTTTTGACTTTCTTGATGACTGTGAGCATTGGGGGACTGTCTCCAAGGGAGAGGTTTCATCACTGTGGAGGATCTGTGACACTAACTCAGAGGCTATAGCCTATTTGGCAGATTTCTACGATTTGCATTCTCCTGACAAAGCTGACTTGAGAAGTGTACATCCCTAACAAGAATTGGGATTGACAGGGGGCCAATTTTCATAATTGAGTAAAAACTGTTGTACACTACAGTTGATTTTCTTTTCCCCCTTTTTGAACATCAGCTGAAACACTACAGTTGATAATATTGAGTTTTAAGACCAGATTTTGGTCTTAATCCTGGCAAAGGATGTACTTTTGACATCTCAAGAATTTGAGTTGTTTATGAAAACTATTATATTTGGAGGGGCGCAAACAGTGTTCTGATGAAGGGTCTGATTCTGCATCATGATCACGACTTTTAAATCACAGGTAGCTCTCTTTGATCAAACATGGTGCTCCTACCTGAATTGCTATGTTGTCTGGAAGGTTAAAGATGCTGAACATTGGAGGAGGTTTTGGTAAGAGCAGCTTGCCAACTTCACCTCTCTATGATTCAAAATACATGCGGGCTCACTCCAGAAGGAGATAATTCTGAACTTAGTCATGACATGAGGGTTATTGAGGGACCAGTCTTTCCCTAGCTCTTTTTGTTGATTGAACTTTCATGATACTACTACTTTCTTTTAAGTAGCTAAAATCAATGTATCTGCTTCTTGCTGCAAATGTTTTTGCCTCTATTGGTGAATCAGTTTGGCGTAGGGTTATTGAGTTTTTATATTTCCAAATGAAATGAAAAGCTTTAAGGGTTTAATGGTCAAGTTGAAAAGGCTGCACACTTGATAGATGAGCTCATTTGATGTTATTGAGGAAGCCTTCCAGCCTCTTAAAAATGAAAATTCAAGTGCCATGGTTTCACCCTTCAGCTAAGATATGATGGTGACCTCCCCCTAGTTACATTCAGTTATTAGATTGTTACTAGCATAAGATACACTTCCTACCAGAATATCACAGCCAACTGCTACACCTTCCAAAGAACAACTAGTTTGAATATTCCTTTGTTATTACGCACAACACTACCGAAAGCTGCCATAAGAGATTTCAAAAACAGCAGCAACATAAGTTAAGCCTAAACCATCCCCGTCTTTGGTTCCATCCATTACGGCAATGAAACAAAACATTGAACAGGGGAGTGAAGCCATTCAAAAAGGAGAAATTGGCTTAAGGAAATTCAGATTTAATAATCCAAGAAGAAGGATCTACAGCTTAAAAGTCTTTTGAATGTTAACTTGCTGAATGTTCTTGAATATGCTGTTGTTTTTTGTACTTCAAATGGTCCATAGAGCAGCAAACCAAGTAATTATCTAACATAAATTTGCTCAAACAAATCTGCAATGGAGTTTGAGAGAACAAAATAGAAGCCAAACCAACTAAAAATTTTAAACCGTATATCCCGATGCAAAATTGCATCTCACAAACAAGTGGTTAGCATCTGCATCCCTCACTCCTCAAATTGAGGATGCAATGGTAATAGAGGCAGGAAAAATTCTCCTCTAAGCAGGTCATACAGGTTAGGAATTCTGTCAAAAATGAGTTTCCAACAAACAGCACTCACTTTCTTATCTCTATATTAAAATTGTGTTACAACTCAAAATACGCATAGAGGAAAGCTTAACATGATGAAGTTGGCAATGAAAGAAGCCAGCAAATTAACAAAATTTTCCTCCTGTTTTTGACTAACAAAAGCATAAGAGCAGCAGTCACTTCTGCTTCAAGACTTATTATCAATATAATTACTATAACTAACATGTTTGAAAAGACAAGAAGTCTGTTGATTGGATTCATCATATCATTCACTCAGATACAAATTGGTCTCACTCAGCTTCATCTGCTTCTATGCTTTTCCTTGCTCAATTTTTCAAAAGGATTGAAAATGAAAAAAAGAAAAAAAGAAAAAAAGAAAAAGATTTAGTTCAACTCTACATGACCCAAGGGTTCCTTCACGAATCTGATAAATCTGATGAAACGACTGTCACAATGGAGGAGACCGGTAACAATTTCTTTCATGACCTGTTATCTAATTCCTTATTCCAAGGGATGCAAAGAGATAGATATGAAAATATTAATTCTTGCAAGATGCATGATGTAGTGCATGATCTTGCATTATCTGTTTCAAAAGGTGAAACTCTGATTTGAAATTCTCATCTATGCTGCAACCAGTCCCCCAAATCAGAGCTTCACCCTTCTCAACAGATAAATGCAAAATCATACACTATATCATGCATCTTGTAAGAATTAATATTTCCAAATCTCTCTCTTTTCACCTCCTGGAATAAAGAATTAGATAACAGCTCATCAAAGAACTTGTTACTAGTCCCCTCCACTGTAACAGTGGTTTCATCAAATTTATCAGATTCGTGAAGGAACCCTTGGGCCATCTTGATGACTCAGTGTTACTCCAGTGACTGCTACAACCAGTGGCAAGCCTCCACATTGTTTTGCACTCTGTTGCCCAATAGCCTCCAAATCTGAAGATATTGATTTTGTTGCGGAAGATCCAAGAACCATCTGCTTAATTATAAAGTATAAACCAAAATTCACCATTTGAAAGCGCCTCCACCAGATAATGATTCTGAATAGGAAGTGTGCTTCCCACCACCAATGTCACCCCTTCATTACAATTGCTATTACAGCGCAGTTCCCAGAAGTTTGCACAATTTTTAACAAAGATAATATAAAGCATCCCACTTGTGCCGATCATGGTTCCACACATAACCAAGATTGAGAAGAAAAGTTCTGCTTTCTCTACTTTTGGCAAGATCTTGAAGCAAAGCATTACTATTGCTTCTTGGAGCAGCAGTAGTACCCTTAAAATGCTCTAACATCTCCCCCAAGACTTTTTCTTCATCAAACTCATCAGATAGACAAACCCAAGCAACTAGATCATAGATTTTTTTGTTCATCCCAACACCTGGCATACCTATTACAGAAATTCTAGAAATGAAATCTCTATCCTTTTTAGGCATGCAACAAATCCATAAATTGTGAAACATCATCATCCCTTCCAAAAACATTGAAATTAACAGGCAGCATGGAATCTACAGGAAGAGACTGACCTGGAGGAAGACTACTCCACTTCGCATCAGCAATCAGCTGAAAAAACACAGCATCTTTGTTTCACCTTCACCAAACGATCTTTAATATTCTCAAGTTTGTTGGCTACAACAAAGCCAAGGGGCAGATCCAACACATCCAGAGGATCACATGCAATTTTGTAGCCAGATCCTCACCACCGGCTCACTGTACTGCAATTCTTCTGCATGTTCAAGCACTGCTGCAACCAGGGTAAGGGAGTGGACAAGATCTGCCGGCTCCTCCTTCAAACCCCCACGCAAAGGAGATCCGGTCGGTAGCATGTTTGACGGCCTTGTCAAGTGCCGCCTTTGTGACAGAGGAGACGACCCAGGATGCTGTAACTTGAACCATGGAGATTGTGCAAAGATGGGAGAAGACCAAGAAAGAGAAAAGTCAAGGATAAGAAAGAAGTGGAAATTTCAGCCTTATCTAGGGTTTTTGCGTATTCAGATGGGATGAAATCTCCTTAGAAAATCCTCCTGCTTCTTAAGTTTGTGTCTTTTAGCCCCAAGACAATTTACAGTTAATTTTTGGTGCAATCCCTTTTAATGGTAAAAAAAAAGGTTGAACGTTTTTTGTACCGGCAAAATACCCAAATCCACCCCCAAAGTATAGTGGCAGGGACGGATCCACTATTGAACAAAAAACGGGGATAAATCCGCTTACAAAGCTTTCGACTTCGACAAATCACTCCAAATTTAACGTGTGACGTCATTTGATATTAGCAATTCGTTAATTCGTTAATGAATTGTTGACATTAGATGACGTCAAATTAACAGATTACTGATGTCAAATGACGTCACACGTTAACTTTGGGGTGATTTGTCCAAGTCTAAAATTTTGTAGGTGGATTTGTCCCTGTTTTTTGTTTGATGGTGGATCTGTCCCTGCCACTATACTTTAGGGGTAGATTTGGGTATTCTGCCTTTTCTACCCGGACTATTGCACTGGACCCAAGGTTTTTAAAACCGGACCGGACCGGCCGGTTGAACCGGTCGGACCGGTACCCGGTGATAAAAACGGTTCGGTTCACATAAAAAAACCGTTTGAGGTCAAAACCGGTCAAAACCGGTCAAAAACC